CTCTCTCTCTCTCTCTCTCTCTCTCTCTCTCTCTCTCTCTCTCTCTCTCGCTCGCTCGCTCTCTCGTAGTAGTAGTAGCAGTAGTAGTAGTAGTAGTAGTAGCAGTAGTAGTAGTAGTAGTAGTAGCAGTAGTAGTAGTAGTCTGTAGGTGCTGAGAAGCCAAGTAGCGAGAGGGTGAGGGAGAGATGGTGGACTTAGAGGAGGAAGAACAACTCTCTCTCTCTCTCTCTGTGGTGCCAAGTACTAACCTGTGAAGGTGGCGCCTTGTTGCAGGTACATCGAAGACGAAGCTGGAGCTATGGCGCCACAGGTAAGTCTTCCTGGCCTCCGCCAACTCTCTCTGTTCCAACGCTACTCTAAGCTCCGCCCCGCGCTGAAGACTACTCCTAGCGCTAGCTACTACTACTGCAGCGCCTGCGGCCGCATCTTGAAGACTGCCTCCTGCACTGCCCGTGAAGTACCCGTGAACTGCCTGAAGCCTGCAGGGCGGACCACTACTAGATAGTGCTGGTCCGGCCTGGAGGTTGCTCTTGCCCATGCCGAATCGTGCCAGACCCTGGCATTGAAGTTCAAACAAAGGTTGTCTTGAAACAGGCCTACAAATGGCCTGTGCTTAACCCTGGTCTGGCGCCTAAGTTTCCGGGCAGGTCGACTTTATGAGGGCCTGAAAATGGCCCTCCTTTTTAGGCTTTTAAGCTGAAACGACACAGGGTCTGGAGGGCCCTTATTTTCCATCTGGTCGGGCCCTGCAGGCCCGTGTGGATGCATAGTATGCCACAGCCCCCCCTCCTTGAAAGATCGGGCTTACCTGCGAGGGCGAAGCTGCCTGTCGGAGGGAGGGACCAAAGTCCGGGTGGGAGGGGCAGGTCGTGACGCTTCCTTAGCTAGTCTTTGTCGTTCGTAGTGAGCGTAGATCAGCGGTGCGGATGCTTGCAAATCTGCTCGTGAAATCCATCAAGTGTCGTTGGGTCGCATGCTTTGAAGGGAACTTTGTACTGTTGCGCCTTGTTGCCGTACTTGCAATCCGTGATGAGCGGTCGACTTCCTGATGACCATCCATAAACGGAGGGTCTTGCGATCGCCAGCCCGGGAAATCATCGCTCTTAGCTGGTGTGTATGTCGCCAGCTTCGAGGCGTGAAAGACTGGATGGACCGACAGATGCGGAGGGATGTCGATCACAAAGGATGGGCCGTCGGGCTCATCGCCTGCGGCTGAAAGGACGGTCCATGGTTCAAACCACTTGGGGAGTAGTTCGCGTGAAACATCCTGTTCGAGCACAAACTCTTCTGCGGAGACCCAAACCGGATCACCGACGCGGATGGGACATGGCACGCGACGCTTGTTGGCTTGCTGCTGCATGCGGACTTGAGCCTTTTGCATGTTCACCCGGGCTTGAGTCAGCAATTCTCTGTACTTCCGGACGGAGGCGGGAGAGCAAGTGGTGTCTACGTCGGCTGTTCGTGGAAGGAGAGAATCAGCGAAGACGACCTTTCCGGCCACCGTGGTGCAGCTCGAATGGGGTCACGTCGATCACCGGATGCAACGAAGCGTTGTTGGCGAACTCGATGTCGGGGAGATGGTCAACCCAATCCTTCTGATCCGGACGGATCCGGACGGATCAGAGTACGAAGCATCATTTGAGCGGTTTAATGTACCCGCTCCGTTTTCCCGCCCGTTTGTGGATGCCGAGCCGAACTTGGTTTCATTTTGGTGTCGGATTCTTGCATGAGAGAAGTCCAAAATGTCGATATGAAACGAGTGTCACGGTCGCTAACGATGTCTTCCGGTACGCCATGGCTGCAAATCCAGCCAGTGTGCAAGAGGCGTGCAAGTTCGGGAGCCGTGGCGTAGTACTTGCAAGGCAGAAATCGCACGTATTTACCCAATCGGTCAACGACCGTGAGGATGTTGTCGTGCCCGAAGCGGTCGCGGGGAAATGGGCCGGTGACGTCCACGGCAATAGAGAGGCCGGGTTCCCGTGGAATAGGCAACGGGCGCAACTCGCCGTAGGGATTGCGGTTGCGGGGCTTGCTTCGTCAACAAACTTCGCAAGAGTCGCAATACCGAGTGACATCAGTAATGAGGTCGGGCCACCGGAATCATTGCCGAAGTCGTGTGATAGTCCGATTGACTCCGAAATCGCCGGCGAGTCGCGAGTCGTGGTACTCGCCGAGAAGGCGTGTCCGACGACGACGGTCTCATGAGACACACAATAAGTCCTTGCCTCGCGAGTGGAGAAGCAAGTACACGTCGACGATGCGATAATGGCTGGCCGACGGGTGATCCGAAGATAACTGCAAATAGAGTGTGGCGAAATCCGGATCAGACTCCTGGCCCCGGATGAAGTGCCGATGGAGTTCCCCGTCGAACGAGAAGGCATGATATGTCATAGCGCAAAGATCGGGTCTTCGCGAGAGTGCATCCGCTGCGCGATTGGAGAGGCCGGCGAGATGTTTCCGTGTGAAGTCAAATTGGTCGATGAAGTACATCCATCGTCCGATAGTGCTGCTCACCGTATCATGCGTCTTGTAGTAGGTCAACGGGTTATTATCAGTGACCCATGTGAACCTACGACACCCAAGGAGGAAGTGTCGCCATTGCTTGAGAGCCATCACGAACGCAAGCAGCTCCCTCTTCCTTGCATCATCAAGTAAATTGATGGGAGGCACCTTGTGGCTGAAATACTCCACGAGGTGCCAATCGTCACCGCCGTGTTGTTCCAAGACTGCCCCAATGCCATAGTCGGAAGCGTCAGTTGTCACTCTCGTTGGCAAGGTGGAGTCGTAGATGCTAAGGACGGGTGGCATGAGCATGGCCGTCTTGAGTGCTTGGAATGACCGACGCGCTTCATCGTCGAATACCGGCACCTTTGGCGATTGTGATCTCGTCAATGGTGCGGACTTAAGTAGCCGGTGATGAAACGTTGGTAATAGCCCGCCAACCCCATGAATGAGCGAACATCCATGGTGTTGGTGGGCTCGGGCCACACTAGGATGGCCTCGATCTTGTCCGCAAGCGAACGGATGCCTTGCGGCGTCACAAAATGGCCCAAGTACTCGAGCTCTTGCCACGCAAATTCACATTTGTCGCGGTTGGCTTTGTACTTGACTTGTCGTGGCCGCTCCAAAACGGTGCGCCGGTGCTCTACATGCTCGTCCAAACTCAGGCTGTACACCAAGATATCGTCGAGGTAGATGAGTACAAATTTGTCCAGCATGTGTCGGAACTCCGTGATCATAGCCTCTTGGAACGTGGTCGGGGCATTCGTAAGGCCAAAAGGCATAACCAGCCATTCGAAATGCCCATATCGAACGCGGTCCTGTAGCAGTCCTCCTGCAGGATCTTGAGTTGCTGATATCCTGATTTGACGTCAAGCTTGGAGAAAATTTTAGCGCTGCACAACCGTTCGAGAAGGTCGTTGATGCGCGGGAGAGGACCGGCGTTCTTGACGGTTTGCGCGTTGAGCTTGCGATAATCGATGCACAATAGCAAGTCCTTGTTCTTCTTCCGAACAAAGAGAACGTGCGCGCCGTATGGCGAAGAGCTAGGCCGGATCCAGCCTTTCTCAAGAAGGTCATTGAGTTGTGCCCGTAGCACACTTAACTCTTCCTCGCTCATGCGGTAGATGCAACCACGCGGAGGTACGGCCCCGGTCTCGACGATGATCTCGTGGGGGATGGGCCGATCCGGTACTACTCCGTGCGGGGCTTCGAGCACGTCGCCGTAGGCGTCGAGAAGCTCGGTGATGCGTGGGTCCGTCGATGCGTCCGTCGATGGGATGTCATGGGGAGGGAGGGCGTGGAGAAAAGACACCCCCATCTCCTCGATATCATCCCTGGTGATGAAAGTTCGAATGCTTGCAGCGGACACCACGTGACAACTGATCGAAGGGTGAGGTGGAGGCACCGTGCATGGGACTAGTACTCCGTTCCGATCACGAATGTGAACGGTGCGGCGATAGAAGTTCACCAGCTGATCCTCGCTTCACAGCCATGACATGCCCAAAATCATGTCGAATTGGGTGTCCAAAATGTTGAAGGACACGACCTCGCTTGCACGCAGGGCGAAGTACACGGGGACGGAATCAAGGCACCGGTCGATTGACTTGTGCGTGCGACCGTCGGCAAACGTGACTTGCGTGGGCTGCGACTTCCTCCAAACGCGTGGCCCAAGGCCAGCGCGTACCATGAAGTCTTGGCTCATATAGTTGCGAGTAGCTCCGCAATCGATCAAACCATTGCAGGTCGCCTCTCCGATCTGAATGCGTATGTACAACAATGGCGCATTGTTGTTGTCGTACCGTTGTGTCTTGAACTCGCGGCCGATCTTCGTAACGTAGTCGTGAAGGCCAACAACCTCTACTCCGGCGTCAATCAACGGAGCTGGTACTGCAGTGTGCAAGTAATCCCGCATTTGTGCCATGAGCACGTTGCAATGCGGTTTCCGCAATCAACCGGTCGGGGGAAGGGGCATCCATTGGAAGTCCGCGAACGTCAACGGGTCGAGTCTCTCAAGTCTTGACCATGATGTCGAATCCCTGAGGAAAGTTGGCGGCGAAGCTGCCGAATCGGTTGCCGAAGGTGGTGAAACCGTGCATGCGATGGATTGTTGCACGTGGAGTGGCTGGTCCAACGGTGGGATCAAGTGGACAGCGTAATCCTCGTAAGTGAACCGAGGACTCGCAACACCCGCATTCTCCCCACATGTGTAGGAGGCCGCTAGCAAGGCGGCAGAATTTGGCGGAGTGAGAGGTGGAGTCGCCTCACCTCCCGCGCAACTCAGTTTCCTGAGTTGATTCGATGTCGAACATCCTCCTTGCCTTGATCTTGGCATTGGGAGGTCCTGTGCTTGGTGTTGTTGCACCAATAGCAACAGCCGTATCGTCTATGGTACTTGTATTCGGCCTCGGTCAAGTTGAACCTGACCCATGGTATTGGCTGTCCACTTCCGCCCGATGATGCGATTTTTGCCTTCAATTCCCACAGGAGTTGTTGTTGCTTCGCGGTTGGACAGCGGCCACCTGATCTCCCTCACATGATGCTGGGGTGGCTGCCGGGTCTTCCACAATGTTGTCCGGTTGGACTGCAGCAACTACTGCGGACGCGGACCAAATTTTCCTTTCTCCACATGCGCTGGCTGCCACGCTGACTTCTCGTGTGCAGCAGCCCAGTTGGTCTTGATGATCTCACACACCTTGTTGATGATTTTGGCGAAGGTCGTGTACTGTTCTCAATCACCGAGTGCGAGGCTCAAGGCGGCACACGATCAGTTGTAGAACTCCCGGCGCAGATGCGAAAATGGCAGCTCGAGATCGGCTTTTGCCGCGATCTTTTGCCATTCGGTGAGCCAATCGCGTGTCGGTGTGTTGCCTTGAGTCATGGCGAAGAGGCGGTTGATGGCGAGCGTCGGGGCGTCGTCCACAATGAACCGCTTCTTCCATTTCTTCGTCATATCGTCCCAGGACATCTTCTTGTGCAGGTCGGAGACCTGGACGCCGAGGATGGTTGCCATGTGGCTGAGCCAGATCTGGCATCCGGCCTTGGCTTTGAGGAACAACGCCAAGATGTACAGGTGATTGGGGACCTCATGAATCCCAATCTCCGTTGTAAGATCTTGCCACTAGACGACTGGGTCCTGATGTGTATAGTCATCAAACTTCTCGATCCGGAACGTCGGCATCTTGTACAACCGTGATGCACTAGTGCCGCCATCGTTGTCGGGCGGCTGATGTAGTTGCCGAACCTCGGTCTTCAAAATGTCGAGCTGCTCATTACGACTACATGGTCAACTCGTTGCTCCAACTGGCGGGTTGAGGCTGCACTGCTGGGTTTGCCAGCATCTGGTCCTGGTGCTGCTTGCTCCAAGTCCTGTACATGGGAATGGAGTGCCCGTGTAGCATCCTCGTGCAAATCCTTGTGGTTCCGCACTGCCCATCAGAGATTCACTTGCTCGGCTGCAGGTGGTTATAAGTGTAAACCAACCGGGTCACGAGTTTGGAGAGGAACTCCTTGTGCTGCTCTTCCGGTGTCGCCTCGTCATGGTCCTCGGATGGTTCAAAATGCCAGAACTTGAGCCTGTCGACGCTGGCGGCTTCGTGCCGCTGCAGCAGATCATGGGCCTCCTTGCGGCGGACCTGGGCATCTGCGTCAGCTACGGCCTGAAGCCGATGCTTTTCAGCTGCTGCCTCTGCTTCAGCCTGTAGGCGGGCAGCCTCGGCTGCCGCCTGGCGCTGTTCCTCAGCCTCGATCAGTGCGAGCTGAGCTTGGAACTGCTGTCGGTACTCGGCAATGGACTCGTTGGCCAGTTGTCCTGGCATGCCCAAAGCTGAAACCGTCATGGTGGCGGGGCACTGCTGGTACTGCTGCTGTCGTGGCACTGTTGCTGATGTGGCACTGCTACTGTCATGGCACTGCTGCTGTTGTGGCACTGCTGACGTGGCCCTGTCGCTGACGTGGGACTTACCAAACCGGGAATGCAGGCAAGGGGCTGGGTGGGAGGGAATTGCACAAAGGTAACCAAACTGCACTTTCCATTCCCGGTCCTAATCAACAGAATAAAACAAAAAATAAAAAATAAAAGGATTCCCCCCCCATCCTTTTTTTTTTTTTTTTGAATATCTGTTGATCGGCTATCAGTGAGGCATTTTCGGAGAAGTGCTATGACCGAGATCTAGGCAAGGTTTCGCAAAGTTTTGGCCTTCAAAAAATGCGATCTCGAAAAAAAGTTTTGCGCGAATGGAGATTCCACTTTCAGAGAAGAATAGATCCAGTTGTAATGACCCGCCAAAAACACAGACTGAGAACACTGCTGATTTCTGGGATTTGCCGCTGGAATGAATGCCTTGCTGAAATTCCCGCATTCTGCTGTGATTTCCATGTCTGTGTGTGTGCGTGCCTGCTGGTTTGCATGCCTGTCTGAGTGCTTGTCGGCTGAGTGTGTGTGTGACCCGCAAGGGTACTTCTTGGTTGAAGGGCCCCGCAGGGCCGGTACTTACCTGTGGCCGTGAGTTTGAGGGTTGCAGGGGGGGGAAAACACTCAAGTAGCGGGGGTAGGCCCGCGGCACTTAGAACAGCGGGGAAAAACACTCAAGTATCAGGTAGGCCGGTACCACTCAAGTAGTGGTAGGGGTGCCGGGTACTGGAGGCCGAGCAGAAGAAGACAAAAAGTTGGCATTTTTAGAGGCCCAGTAGCGGTAGGATAGCAGTAGGCCGGTACCAGTCCAAGTAGCCCGGGCCTAGGGGCTGTACGGAGGATAGCAGAGCCTGCAATGATGTTTCCCTGCGAAAGGGAGGAGGTACCGGTGGCTGGGAGGCCGCTCGGCGTAGGAAGTCACCGCCCAGGAGGCCGGTAGGCCGCTATATCTCCAGGAAGAGCAAAGAGCTCTTCCTCATTTGCGGTGTGCAAGGATTGGCGACATGCTGCTGGAGCACAACGCTGGAGGGTACAGTGCTGCTTGGAGGTGAAGGGCAGCTGGAGCTCAGCCTGGCTATGGCGAGCAGTCCAGCGTGAGGAGGAAGAAGGGGGGCAAGGTATGAGAGCGGCGAGGCACCTACCTGGCTATGGTGGACACCGTCTTCAACACCTTGTTGGGCGCTTCATCTGGAAGGCCCCATTTGGGGTAGTGCTGCACCAAGGAAGCTCGAGGCAGAGTCAGGCATGGCGGACCAGTCAGCAGCAGCATAGCTGCTTTGAGTTGTCCTTCGGGCATTCGTGCAGCACCATAGCTGCTTTGAGTTGTCCTTTGGACAGGAGGGCAAGGCCCTCATTAGTCCGCCATAGCCTATGCATGAGAGAGGAGGCTGAAGGAGGGAAGCCATAGCTATGGTGGTCTTGTTGTTGTTGTTGTTGTTGTTGT